GGCAAGTGGGAAGAAGTGTGAGGTGTTCTTGAGTGTCATGATTTGCCATTTTCTGTATGTATATATGTTTCTGTATATAACAATATTATTTAAATTTTGTCTACATGTATCCTCAGTAGCAAATCACAATCTAAATAGTTTCACCGGTCTATATTTATTAAAAATTAAGTTCCATGTGCTTGTATTCCCACTCTTCAATCAATTTATGACCATAACCTCACCACTCCTCTCTAGATCTATATGTCTCTTGTCCTTTCCATTTCATAATTAAGGCCAAAATAGAAAGATTAGACATATTAGTGAATAGTTTAGTTTGGACTTTAGACTATGAATGGAGACTAGATTAAACATATTTGGTAATTTAGTCATATTACCATTTACTTTGTATGTATAGTAGTTACTCGTACAAAGTTCATGTGATTACATGCATTGTAGGGAGAAAAAAAGAGATTTGACTTTTTGTGTCAATCGAATATTATCGTTATTAACTTATGATCGTTTGAATTGTTCCAAAAACAAAATAAATGACGCGGTTGCTACTATTTTTATTTGCCATGTATCTTTGATTGCATGAATTATTTTAAGTCATAATCACACGATTATTTCACAATATCATCCAACTCGCTTCATGAATATTCATCCATTACAAAAAAAAAACACACACACAAAAATTCCATCAAATTTTACAGTTTCCAATAACAGATAATTATTGCAATATGTATACCAACACTGTGTAATGCTTTTTGACTATTGTATTGCCATTTTCCACTAATCGAGGAGATCAATTGCTCATACAATCATACTACTTCTTAGCAATTATCTTAAATTACCCACATCTTTTTATATCTCCCGCATATTAAGCTAAACTTTTCATAATTTTGCCTCCCTTAAAAAAGTGGTCTATGTGTATTGTAAATGCCAGATAGATTAAAAAAAAGAAAACAACTCATATGGCATATCAATATTGTAAATCAAATTGTAGAAATGGTCATTTTGGTGTAT